GGACAAGAGGTTGGTGGACAAGAGGTTGGTGGACAAGAGGTTGGTGGACAAGAGGTTGGTGGACAAGAGGTTGGTGGACAAGAGGTTGGTGGACAAGAGGTTGGTGGACAAGAGGTTGGTGGACAAGATTTGTATAGGGAGTTGCCCGGGGAGGTTTGGTTACAGTGGGTGGAAGTTTGACATTGAGAAGATTCTGGGAGCCCTGCCTTCCAAAACCGCTGCTGTCCACATGCTGTGGTAGACCCACAATGCCATGAGGGAGGGAGTTCCACAATTTTGTCCCAGTAACAGTGAAGGAGTGGTGATGTATTTCCAAGTCAGGATGGTGGGAATCTTCCAAGTGATGGTATTCCCATGTATCTGCTGCCCTAATCCTTCTAGATGGAAGTAACTGTGGGTTGGAATATGCTGGCTAAGGATCTTTGGTGAATTTCTACAGTGCATCTTGTTGCTCCTGAGTGTCAGTAGTGGAGAGAGTGAATGCTTTTGTATGTGATGCCAATCAAGCGGGCTGCTTTGTTTTGGATGGTGTCAAACTTTGTTTTTGGAGCTGCGCCCATCCAGGCAAGCGGAGAGCATCCCATTACAATCATCATTTCTCTCTTGTAGATGGTGGACATGCTTTGGAGAGTCAGAAGGTGAGTTACTTGCAATGTTCCTAGCCTCGGACCTGCTCTTGTAGCTCCTATATATTGTCAGTCCAGTTGAGTTTCTGCTTACTGGTAACATCAAGGATATTGATGGTCGGGGATTCAGTCATGTAACACCATTGAATGTCGAGGGGTGGTGAAGATTGTCTCCTATTGGAGATAGTTGTTGCATAGCATTTGTGCGGCATGAATGTTACTTACCACTTTTCAGCCCAATCCTGGATGTTATCCAGGTCTCGTTGCATTTGGACTTAGACTGCATCAATATCTGAGGAATCACAAATGGTGCTGAACATAGTGCAGTCATCAATGAATATCCCTACTTCTGACCTTGCGTTAGGGGAAGGTCATTGATGAAGCAGCTAAAGTTGGTTGGGCCTAGGACACTACTTTGAGGCACTTCCGTAGAGATGTCCTGGACCTGCGATGACTGACCTCCACAACCGTAGCCATCTTCCTATGTGCCAGGTATGATACCAACAGTCAGAGTTTGCCCTGTGATATTCATTGATTCCATTGCGAGGGTTGCAGTCACTCTGACCTCATCTCTGGAGTTCAGCTCTTGTTTCCTTGTTTGCACCATAGCTGTAACATGGACAGGAGCTGAGTGACTCTGACAGAACAGGAATTGATGTCCGTGAGCAGTCTATTTCTGAGTATTTGCTGCTTGATAGTATTTTCATTCTTCCATCACTTTGCTGATGATTAAAATTAGATTGGGGCTGTAATTGGTTTGGTTGGATTTGTCCTGCTGTTTGTGGCTTGCACTGACGTGCAATTATCCACAATGTTTCATTTCTGTATCTATTCTGGAATGGAATGTGACTGGGTGAGTGACAGGACGTGCTGGCTGCATGTGAATGAGGGAGTGGGACTAAGTTGATGACATACCTCTCTTTTCACATAAACACACTCTGTCCCCAACCAATACCAACATAACTTCTACCAAGACAACTCAGAATGTAACCCACTAGAAGTGAACCAAAGTCTCTGTTAACTAAAACAAACATAAGGAGTTCTCTGGTGATCAGGACTTGGATCCTAGTTCTGTCTCTCTTTAGTTCTGCTTCTTAGGTGAAAAGGTGGAATAAAAGAGTTACCTCAGCGATTTTAATGGGTTTTTTAACTCCTCATTTAAATAATCCATTTATTGCATTGGAAATTTATTCTGAAATTCACATTACTTTTATGGGAAACCTTATCAATCTTAAATCTGTCTGTGTCCCCTAACGAGAGAGAAACTGAAATTTGACTATCCTTGCAAGACATTTATGCAAACTTGGTGATGAAGCAATGTCGATGTCTGGTTTAACCAATTATATAACAAATTAAGCAGTGACTTTTAATATTAATAACCACTTTACTGCTTGGTTCACATTGTGTCCGTGTGTATGCTTTCTGTGTCAAGTACAGATTGATTTATGCGCGCACATTTTTATTCAAGGTCCAGACTTCATCTGCTTTCTTTTGTTGCATTCTGAATAGATGAATGTAATGTTATTCTTACGAGTGTTTCTGATATTATATCAACATCTTTTTTTAAACTGTCATCAAATAGTTCCATTCCAAATAGATAATCTTTCCTTCCATTATAGGCCAAGGTCAAAGCAAGAAGGCTGCAAAACACAAAGCAGCAGCAGCTGTACTCAATGTTCTGAATGGAGGAACTCTGGAAGACCCTGAATGTGATGGAATGAGGTGAGAAGGCAGCTGCGTTTCATAAATGGTCTGATATTTAACTTACATTTACTGCATAGCACCTGACAAGATGCAGAGTTTTTTTTTGTAAGTGTTCTTGCTTTTAACTGTATAAGAGATCAAAATGTTTCAGAAAAAATGCTTTATTCTTGGACTGGATGTTGTATGAAATACATATATCAGTTGCTCTCTTTTCAGCCAATCTTTGCCAAAATCTGAACCCATTACCTCAAAGCAGCCACACAATCCTCCCAACCCTATTGGTACACTTCAGGTGAGATGAGGATAGTCCTCTTTCTTTCATTTTAATCTGCAGTTCCAGTTGTAAATGTTTGCTTGTTTTGGTATTTTTCATTTGGATTTATTATAGCAGTTGTGTGTCAGCAAAGTATAAATCAATAATCAGAGGTGACTTTAATTTTCATATAGATTGCAGAGGCCAAATTTCCAATGATAGTGATAGGTTGACCATTATACAGATATGGAATTTGTATAAGCATTGGAATGCTTTTTCCGGTGGGAGAGATGCCCTTATTGCAATCAAAACTGAATAAAACAGTGCGTGTAATGATCTGAAGTGATTTAAATGTCCAGAATCTTTTAATTTAAAAAAAAATCCACCAGCTCTCTGGAAAAAAAACACCAGCTGTTAGAGCGCTTTGATTTACAGCTATGCTGTAAATTAAAAATATCTTAGTCATCGTTTTTACAAATTTAACAGGTGCTATTGTCTGAGAGCTAGAATGTTTTTCTTTGATAGCTGAATTTTAAAGGTTCAGTGCCACTTGTCATGGCAGGGACCTGTATGGACATTTTTGACAGTCTTAGGAAGTTATGAAAGGGTTTGCTGTCTTTGTGGTTTGTAGGATCAATGTTTGTGCTTTTTTATAGTGGATTGATATAAGGAGTTTTAAGTTCGGTAATTTTCAGTATGTGTTTAAATGAGAAGTTTATTTTTTTTTTGCTGTTCATTTCAAAAATATCCTGAGGTCTGCCCATAGTGGGTACTGGGTGATTTGCAATGGAGAATACATGGGCGTAGGGGCATAGAGGGAGCAATAAGAAGGCATGTAAAAGTTTGTGTGGGAGTTATGAGAAAACATTTGGGAGGGGTGTCTGGTATTAAGGCTAGGGGATCTAATAACCTTTTAATACATCTGGCCCAAAGTCCCAGGGAACAGCAGCAGGTCTTCTAACCAGCCCATCTCGGCACGCTAAAAACACATCTGAAATGTCTCCTGAAATAGAAGGCCCAACCATATCCCATTCTGGTCTCCCTAGAACAAAAAGTATTGTGGGCAGGTACCTTTTTAAAGAAGAAATGGGTCTGCCAGGTTGAGAAGTTTTCTGACTTGACCTCCTCAACACCTCCAATGGAGAAGGTTTAGCATACAAGACTGAAGAATCATAGAATCCCTACAGTGTGGAAACAGGCCATTCGGCCCAACAAGTCCACACCGCCTTGCTGTATTTACTTAGTATCTTTGTGCCTAGAACAAATGCAACAAATTTTCACTAAACCAGTTCCTGGAATGAGAGGATAATCCTGAAGAAAGATTGGTTAGACTGGAGCTGTAGTTCCTGGATTTTGGAAGGAATGAGATGAAATCTCATTCAGACAGAAAATACTTAAAAGATTGGAGAAGATAGATGTCAGAAGGATCTTCCTGTGACCTGGGAGCAAGAACTAGGGATCACTGTCAGAATAAAGGGTCAGTCATTTAGGACAAATTTCTTTACTCTAAGGTTTTGGAATTTTGTGCTTAGAATGCTTTGGATCTTGTTATTGAACATATTTCAGGCAGAGGTTAACAGATTTTTGGATTCTGAAGGAATTGAAGGATCTGGAGATAGCATGGGAAAGTGGAATTGAGGTAGGAGAGGAGTCATGGTACAGGCTTGAAGGTTTGAATGACTTACTGTCCCTATTTCTTAAGTGTTTATATTTCATATTTCCAGTAGCTCATTATAGTAGCAGCTTTGTTAGATTTCTGAGAATTCTACAGTAAAACTGCTAACATATTATTTACTAGGAATTGGTTGTGCGGAAAGGATGGAGACTTCCAGATTACGCTGTTGCAGAGGAATCAGGTCCTGCTCACAAAAAAGAATTTACAATGATTTGCACAGTAGAAAAATTTGTTGAAACAGGTATGAAACACACATATTATAAGAGTCCAAGGTGAGACTTTGTCGTAGTTCTAAATGAGATAGTATTTGTAGTTTAATATATGTTCTTAAACATTAATTCATGCACAATTTTTATAACCAATTTAAGAAGGCAACAGGCACTGTCCTACATTAAATTTCTTTGGAGAATTCTCATTTACTGTTTTACTTCTTGAAACATGGGCATCAGTGGTTAGGCCAGCATTTATTTCCCTTAAGATGGTGAGCTGCCGCCTTGAACTGCTGCAAGTATCTCCACAGTTCAGGACGAGAACCATGATATGAGCAGGCAGACTACTCAATCCTGATTCACCTTGCAAGTGTGTAATTCTGAAGACAGTGATTTCATATGTCCCAGATGCCAGTTATTTCTGTTAAGTAATTTCCTATGTGATTTCTCTCTGTAAACCCAGCTTATAAATAATAGATGTCAACTGTAGTTACAGTTCTGAACAAATACACAACTTCTCAGTCTTTCTAATCTTATCAGGTGACTTCTAATTTGCAGCGAGGCTTTCTGCATAGAATGTGGGCTGATGGGGAACTGTCTTGATCACGTAATCTGTGAATAAACCTAGTTCTAAACAACTTGGTTGAGATCTTGTTGCAAGAGCCCTTGGTATTAGGAAGGGGCAAAGCAAGAGTGAGTAAAAGCTATCTGGAAGAAAAATGTATTTTAGTACTAGTGTAAAATCTCATACAAACAAAGGAGATAGGAGCAGGAGGAGGCCATTTGGTCCTATGAGCCTGCTCCAGCATTCTTCACGATCATGGCTGATCGTCCATCTCAGCCTCATCCTGCTTTCTTCTCATAACCTTTGATCCCATTCGCCCCAAGTCCTACATATAGTCGTCTCTTGAATACATTCAGTGTTCTGGCAGAATAGGCTCAATATTTTAGCATAGGAATGTCAAAAGGCCAGCCTTCCCCTATTTCAGAATGAGACCAGTTAATCTTGTTGTTGAACTCATTGTCAGCTTGTCAAGAGCCAGCTTGATGTTTTGGTGGGGGACATTGATCAGAGACAGATCAGATGCATGGAGGTGACAGCACAACATATCCAATCTTTGCCACTGCTATGAAGTTAGGTGGGCCCATAGAAAAGGAACACTACCAAAAGGAGTGCTCAGCTGTTAGATGGGTGCAGTTCAGTGTGTTGAGGAGTGACTGGACTGTATGCACTGTGGCAGTGGGGGTGGTTGTGAGTATCATGACGGGGATTAGAGTTCCAGAGCATAGCTGAGGGTAACTAAGATAGCAGCTGGTAACGGAAGTACTGTAGTCAGATTTTGTGTCAAATGGCAATAAGGATCAATATCCTAAGCAGCAGAAGAAATGGATGAGGGACAGGAAGACTAGGAAGGCTATATTCTCAGCACATGCTATATTGCCAATGACAGAACAACCTTGAAGTATTGCAGAACAGGAACTGTGAGTGACTTTACCTATCTAGAATGGTCACTGAGATTTGTACCCTTACAGGGAAGACCTCATACCTGGCAACACTGCTCACTTCCTTCCAGTAGCTGTCAGTATGTCATTTTGCTGATGATTGAGAAAAGCCAATTGGGACAGTTGGCTGGGTATGATTTGTTCTGTTCTCCTGGATAATATACCTGGACAATTTTCCATATTACCAGTTAGACGTCGGTGTTGTAACTGTTCTGAAACCTCTTTGCTAGAGGCATAGCTAGTTCTGGAGCATGGGTCTTCAGTACTATTGTTGGAACATTGTCAATTCACATAACGTGCAATATTCAGTGTTGTCAATATTTCTTGATATCACGTGGGGTGAATCAAATTAACTGAGGGTTGGCATCTGTGATGTTGAAGTGCTTGGTAGGAGGCTGAGATGTATTGTCCGCAAATCTGACCTAAGTTGCATGGGAATACTTTATTGTCTTTATCGTTGATATGCGGGACATCCTTATATTGAGGTAGGGATATTTTTGGAGCTGCCGCCTCCATTGAGTTGTTTAGTTGTCCATCACCGTTCATGACTGGATGGGGTAGAATGTATGGATATATGAATTAGCAGTAAAAGTAGGTCACTCAAGCCTACTGCTCCATTCAATAAAATCAAAAATTTCACATTCCAACCTGCTCCAAATAACATTTGATTCTCTTGCCTGACAACAATCTATCTGCCACTGTCTCAAAATATTCAGTGGTTCCACTCTGCTGCCCTTGGAGGTATGGCGTGTGAGTTATTTATCCTCATAACAAAAAACACTACAGCACAGAAACAGGCCCTTCGGCCCTCTAAGCTGCGCCGACTCATTTTGCCCTTCCTAATTAAAACTGTCTTCACTTACAGGATCCATATCCCTCTGTTCCCTTCCTTTTCATATGTTAGCCCAGGTACTTGTTGAATGCTGCTATTGTGTTTGCTTCCACCACCACTTCTGGTAACGCGTTCCAGGCACTCGCCACCCTTTGTGTGGAAAAACTTGCCTCATACATCTCTTTTAAGCTTCCCTCCCCTGCACCTTGAACCTGTGTCCCCTAGTAATTGACCCCTTCACACTTTTGTTTTGGGGCAGGGGGAAGCCTCATCCTTTCCACTCTGTCCAGGCCATTCACAATGTTTTATAAACTTCTCAACCTCCTGCATTCCAGTGTAAACAAACCTAGTCTATCCAACCTTTCTTCATAGCTAAAATCCCCCATACCAGGCAACATCCTGGTAAACCTTTTCTGTACCCTCTCCAAAGCATTCACATCCTTCTGGCAGTGTGGTGATCAGAACTGTGCGCAATATTCCAAGTGTGGTCTAACTAAAGTTCTAGTGGCTTAACTAAAGTTCTAAAGTTTATCTGTGTCCAAAAAGGGCAACTCAATTTTTTTTTTTATATACAACAGTTCTGGAATTCCCCATCTGTTCTACGTTCAACTTGTCGAGATCATCAGGATCTTGTATGTTTCAAGTAATTAACCTATCACTTTTCTAGACCAGTAGAAATAAGCCCAGTCGGCCCAAACCATTCATTTCAGATATCAGTCTAGTAAACCACAACCTCTGAACTGTCTCCATATCATTTACATCCTTTATTTAATAAGGAGATCAAAACTGTGCATTGCACTTGAGATGTGGTCTCACTAATCCCCATGAAGCGTAACGTCCTTACTTTTACGACGAATTCCTTTTGAAAAAAGGAAAGCAGAGCTTAAACCTGATCTGTTGGTTGTGAGATTCTTAAAGTATGTATTGCAGGATGCTTATACTGCTTGATTTGCAAGTAACTCCTCTAATGAAGCTACAACCGGTTGGCTCCTCATATTTAGTCATGCCTGGTGCTTTGCCAGGTGCTGCTCCTAGCATGCATCTCTGCATGCTGTATTGAACCAGTGTTGACCTCTAACTTGATGGTAATGATAGAGTGGGGATATGCCAGGCAATTAGGCAACAGTTGGAAAACCACTCTGCTGTTACTGATGACCCATAACACTTATTGGACACCCAGTCGTACATTGCTGGATCTCTGAGGTCTATCCCATTCAGCAGAGTGGTAATGATACGTGATTGGTGGGCTGGGGAATTTCAGCTCCACAGTGGTTACTCCTGTGGAATGATCTACCTGCTGCAAGTAGATTGGTGAAGATAAAGTCAAGTATATATTTCTCTCTTGTTAGTTCTCTCACCCCCTGTTGCAGGTCTAGTCTACCAGCTGTGTTGTTTAGGAATGGGATACTTCTGCTTATTAGTGTTCAATGAAGAGGAAAATGGATTCATCAACTGAGAGATGGTGGTAGGTCGTAATCAGCAGCAGGTTTCCTTGGCCATGTTTGAGTTGATGCCGTGAGCTTTCATGGGGGTCAAAGTCAATGTTAAGGACGACCAGGGTAATTCTCTCTCAAAAGGCCATTACCTCTGGTGGATTCGTCCAGAGATTGTTATTATCTATTAGGTATGATCCTTGAAAATAACTATGTTGTTTGACTAGTCTGTAGGACATCTCTGTCAACTTCGGTACATACCCCAAAATGTTAGAAAGGAGGACTGTGCAGTGTCAACAGGGCTCTGTGTGCTGTTGTTGTTTCCAGTATTTTCGTCAATCTCCAGTATTATGTTTGGTTCCTTTTATGAGAAATTGCAGCAATTGGATGGAACTGAGTGAATTGCTATGTCAATTCAGAACATTTTAAGAATAAATTGCATTGCTGTGGATTTGGAGTTGCATGTAGGTAGACCAATTGACAAATTTTCCTTTCCTGAAGCAAAGTAAGGAACCAGATTTTTTACAATGGTTTCATTTTTAGGCTAGCTTTTGATTCCTATTTATGAATTAAAGTTTCCCTTTTTTAAAAATTCATTCATAGCATAAGGGCATCTCTGGCTAGGCCAGCATTTATTGCCCATCCCTAACTGCCCAGATGAGAGCCAACCACATTGCTGTGGGTCTTGAGTCACAGGTAGGCCAGACCAGGTAAGGATGGGCAGTTTTCTTCCCTAAAGGACATTAGTGAACGGGTGGGTTTTTTTTTTGACAATCAACAATGGAATCATAAAAACTGAAAGACCCAGCAGATGCTGTAAATCAGGAACAAAAACAGAATTTCTGAGGAAGGGTCACTGGACCTGAAACATTAACTCTGACTTTTCTTCACAGATGCTGCCAGACCTGCTGAGCTTTTCCAGCAACTTCTGTCGTTGTTAACAATGGAATCCTGGTCATCATTAGACTCTTGATTCCAGATTTTTTTAAAAATTGAATTTAAATTCCACCATTTGCCGTAGCAGGATTCAAACCCGGGTCCCCAGAACATTAGCCGAGTCTCTGGTTTAACAGTCCAGTGATGATGCCTCTAGGCTGTCACCTCCCCACTGTGGTAAGGTCTGAACCCATGTCTCAGAGCATTAACCTGAGTCTCTAGATTACTAGTTTGGTGACAATACCTACTATGCCATTGCTTCCCCTTTGTGCAAGTGGAAGATCTGTAAGTTAGTGGCTGCGCTGGTTTCCCTGTATTCATTTCTTGCAGTACCCTGCACAGAACTGAATATTTATCCTCTGTCAGAATCTGTGGAAGACGCTAGGAAAGATCATGAATAGACTGTGATAGTACATCCTGAAATGCTAAGGCATCCTGATGCAGTCAAATCTTTGGCATGTTGTCAGACCATAGAATTAAGGAAAAAGAGGCCAACCAGGAGAAGTGCACTTCTTTTCCTCTTTGCCAATAGATTAGAGTATCTTTACGCTTTCTTTTTTAGTTATATCGTATCTCATTTTTCCTGACTTGCTGCTATGGGGGTCTCCTCTGGTAATTTCAATGGCTGTCTTTATGGCAGTGATAATGTGGAAATGAGACCCTTCTCTTCCAGTCAGAACCCTCTCTCTGGCACTGTGAGCCCTTTTATGCTGCAAGGAGGCACTGCTGGTGTGCTTGTCCAGCTCCTTGATAAATGATGCATGAAACAGTGTGGCTAGGTCCTCAGCAGCATTGTGGCTGTATCTGTCTGAGGAATCAGTCAGTACCATGTAGACATATTCCAGTCCCGCTCAGGAGCAGCATGCACCTTCAGGCATCTCTGCTGGAAGCTGAACACCCAGAAACCTGTCATCAGGCTCTGTTAATGCACTCGTCTTACTGTAGTCATTCAATCTTTGACGGCACTGGACCCAGGTCCTGGAGACTACACATCTGCTGTATCAGATGCAGCAGTGTTCTTTGGTTTGGTAGCTGCCTTCTGTTCTGCAGAAAGCAGAACCTTCCTCCTGTCCCTTGTACCTCCAAGAAGATCTAAAATGTTGGCATTGGAGAACCAGGGGCCTGTGTTGCTTTGCATGCAAGGGTTTCTCGAGTCCCTGGTGCAAGAATCTTTTCTTTTGAACATGGTGGCTTTTAAATTAGGGCTGCGCTCTGAGCCCCACCTCTGTTATGCACTAGCAATGCTAATGTCTGTCCAACCCACTGTCACAAAAATCACAAGCTGTGGCTACTAGGATGGGGCCAGGACCCAGAAACAGTTGTAACGTTGGTTTCTTGACTCCAGAAGCAAAACCATGTCTTCTTTTTTGTACAATTAACAGGCAGTATATAAGTGCAAGTTGTCGTTAGGCAAACAATTACTTCTGTTGCAGATTTTTAAAAGAAACTGCAATTCTGTAACAAAATTGGAAGTTATAAACTAAAATTATTATCAGCAATGTACTTGAACACAAAATTGACAGTGAACAATGAACTTTCAATTCTTATGTATAGGTTGTGGTACTTCAAAAAAATTGGCAAAACGCAATGCCGCAGAAAAGATGATTGCCAAACTACGGAGTATTCCTGCAGGCTGGAAACAGGAGGATGAATTCAATAATGCTGATATTTCATTGGTAAGAGTACAATCAAAGTGGGAAAGTTTGAGGTATGCAGTAAAAGGTTTACACCTGGACAAAATTGCAGCAGTTGGTAATTATTTCCATGGATTGTGATTACAGTTTTAACAAAACTGAAATAAGACTTTTGATCTCCCCATGCACCCCCCCACCCACCAACTACTTTGAGGAAGACTTATGAGTGGAAGCTGCAATCAGGTTTGGGAAGATCATAAATTACATAAAACATGTTGTTTAAAGATTAATGTTCAACTTCGAATGTTAGTGGCATGAAAATAATCAAATTGTATTTCTATCTCCAATGTGGTCTGGAATTTGCAAGAACACTGTTTTTTGTCATCGTAGCTACTGAAATTAGAAAGATTAAAATAAGATTACTTTCAATTTAATGGTTCTTCACTGTTGTTGTTCACTTCCAGTCCTGTTTTCAGATAAAGGCTCCCCCTGGTGTTTCTACAAGTTGTTCAAATCTTGCTTTGCTTCCAACTGATTAAAACCAGAGAAGCTGCATTTTTTTGAAAATCTGATGTGCAATTGCAATATAGTCCTTCAGACATCTTCGCTTTTCCCAAAACATTTCTATGATTAGTAAGATTTAAACTGAGATTGGAATGTAACTGGAAAATTACTAACATATCTCTTTGATTTGTGACATTAATATTAGGAGGATCTTGACAAGCTAGTTTGAGAGCAGCAGTTAATAAAAGAACAACAACAGCTGTATGTGTTCTGGTGGATTCATATGGATACTGTCAGCAAGAAGAATAAACTAAATCCATACAAAACTGCAGATTGAGATATTTTGAGATTACTTAATTTACAAAATGTACCACAGGACTGTCCAATTTGTCATTCTGGTCCACTTGAATGTATAGCATGGATTCTCAAAGGTCACCTATAAAGTTGGTAATAGGTATTGATAAACTTCATTTATCGTAAACTACCAACAGGCACAGAAATGAATGTTGGCTGATTCCTAAATTACAATGTGAAAGTAGCAGTAGGAACAGATTTCCAAACCTTCAGGCTCTGATGTATTTTAAGATGATACTTCAAACTTGGCAGTTGGTTCAAAGAAGGCAACGTGTTGATTCACATGTACACAAGGGAAACGGCACTCCAAGATGCTACTTCCCCAAGTGTAAATATGACTCAAATTGCGAATCTTACCATCTCATTGGTTATGTAGGTTTTTTTGAGCATCATAAAGACAGGATGTTTGACACACAGCTGATTGTAATCCAGTGTGCATTACACAGTGCTGGGTTCCTTTGACCTGCTAATGGAGCTTCTGGTGTGCATTCCTCGTCGGTAGCATCCCTGTGTTTCTGACCGCACCTCACCCTACTCAGTCAAGGCATTCATCTTGTCCTCAAGTTAAATGATCCCTTTAGGTCTACTAACAATAGGATCCCTGTTCTCTTTGTGTCGCAGAGGGCTTTACCCCAACCTGTCTATCACTATGCCCTTCACTAGATTATGGTGGTTTCTAGCATTTGCAGCTATTCTAATTACAATGTCCCTTTGTGTGCTGAGGATGATTCTCTTTCTTCCTATACTGTACTTCACTATAGCTTGTCTGGTTCTAATGTTATGTGATTTGATTGCAGTCTACACATTCCAGTTCTCCTATTCTCTTGTCTTCAACTATGTGACACTTATCTATGTAACAAGTAATTTCTATATCTATTCTTCTGATAGTAACACTCTCAAATTAAAATAATCGAAACCTGTGGAATAAGTAGTAAGAAGTATAAACAGAAATGCATTCATGGTTCATGGGCTGTTTGGGAATCCATAATAGGTTATGCAGAATGTGTACCTTTTAAACCCAGTTGGATGCCTGAAACCGTCAACTAGGTCAGAAAACCTAACTTTAAAAAGTCCCAAAAATATTCTTAATTTGGTCAAATGAAGTAGTTTTGTGTTTCTGTGTGTTACCTTTAATTGTGTATGGTAAAGTGTGATCAGTTGATTTTATTAAATGTAAACATCAAGTTTGATATTGTATGTCCTTCAGATATCTGGAGATGAATGGAATGGTCCAAGGGGGAAGATACCAGTAATCTGTTGCGACCTGCTAAGAAATTTATCTGGAGAAAAAATTAACCAACTGAAAAGGAGTCCACTCAGCATTCCCAACACTGATTACACTCAGATGTTGGCAGAAGTGATGGATGAGCAAGGATTTGATATCTCTTACCTGGATATAGGTATATACATTATAACAATGTAACTTATTCAGCTTTGAGAAATAAAAATCATTAGCTATTAGAATACCCAGTCAGAATACGTAATAAACTAGTAATATTCAAAGAAAAGTAGTCTGCTCAATTTATAATTCTTGTACTCAGTGAAAGCTGTAATACAGCACTAAGACTATTACATTATTGAAATCTTGCTTTTCTTCCCAACAATAACTAATCTACATCTTAATTATTATATGTTCACACTGTTTGAAATTATTAAGTTCATCTAATTACATTCTACATTTTTGTCCAATTCATTTTTTTGAAATGGGCTGAATGTTCAGAGGTGTTTGCTAGAAGCATCTCAATTTGAGTTTTTGTCGTGACGCTGCAAGTGAAATCTTTTTAATGCCATGTATTTGTACTGACGGTGACCAGTATTCATTTTACCTGAGCCTTGGTTATTTACATTGATGATTATCTCACACCAAATGTTTAAGAAAGATACAGCTCATGAATGATTAAAGTGAGGACATCTTTCTGTAAAGGCAAATGATTGTAATTGTTTAGTCTGTATTTTACTTGGAGGGGCAATTAAAAAAACTGTTACTTTTTTTGTTACAGATGAGCTGACTGTGAATGGGCAGTATCAATGTTTGGCTGAACTCTCAACTCGGCCAGTTACTGTGTGCCATGGAACGGGAATTTCTCGTGGTAATGCTCACAATGATGCTGCCCACAATGCACTGCAGTATTTGAAGATTATTGCTGGAAAAAATTAAACAGGTTCAAATTTCACCCAGGTGGCACTATTTAAAAAAAAACAAAAATATTTTTTTAAAAATTATTTGATTGAAACACAGCCTGAGGTTTTAAGCAGCATTTTAAAGAATAGGATGTACCTGTATGTGCATGTACACAATCATCTGTTTCCTTACTGTTAAAACTCTGAAAAGCCCTGGACTAATTAAATAAATTACAGTCCCTGAGAGAAGTAATATATTAAGAATCTGATTTTTGAACATTTTCCCGCTATGTGACAAATGGCAGTCTTTTTGAAGCTTTCTTTCTGTAAAGTAAAATGTGCAAACACAAGTCTAGCTGTCATTTTTGTCCAATAAAATGTTTGAAGATGAATGACATCAAATCATTTGAAATAACGTTGAAACATTGAGCAGGGTTTTATTGACTCAAAGCTAAAAGAGGCAATAGTATTTCAAAAATAGTTTATTTGTAAAGTTACATATCCATAATATTAATTAGTTCACTCTACCACCACTTAATTCTGCAGCTGCCGGTTCTCTGTAGTGTGATTTAGATTGAGAGCTGACAGTGAGATCAGTCAAATTTCTCTATCCTTCATGTTCTAGCTTGTAAGTTTAATGTAATATTTCTAAATGACATTTTGAATGTCTCCGCTTCCTTAGGTTGGTCATATACCAAAGTAATTCTATCAAATGATTTTTTTGATAAGAAATTAATTTACCATTTAACAAGTGTTACATAGGGCAACTGTTATGGACTGGACCAGACCAAACCCCCTCAAAATATATTAAGATAGCTCAGACCCTAACTTTTTCTTATTTTAAAGGTAAGTGTAAGATGTTGCGTTCCAGATGCGCTTCAGTTAGTTAAAAAACTTGACTTTATGCAAAACATGCTTTATTTTCGCACTACAATTAAAATATAGACAAAATAAAAGAATTGGCTTAACTGTAACTCTATTGAAATGCTTTATGAAATAACATGTATAAACTACTACGAATTAACTGTTCCAATATAGTAACATCCCATAAACGCACTCCTGACAAAGGCAAATTCAGTAAAATAAATTGTCTCACATGCAATTCTAGCAGCAGGAAGAGAACCCCAGCTTTTAGTAGTAATCAGAGAGGAATAAGAGCTTCCACATTCAGCTTCAAGACCCCAGCAACTGCTGAAAGCTAAAACTAAAAGTCCTGGTTTTGTGGGAGCTTGACCCTATCCTTTAGGCGGCTTCTACTGTTCCAACTTAAGAAAAAAACCCAAGACCTCACAAGCTGTTTACTTTATTGGCTTTGAGCAGACCGCTTTATACCTTTGTCTCAACCTCTCTTCACTTTAAAAAAGGATCAGGACAAAATACACCTCTTAAAGCCATAGTATCATCACAGTGATGTTATTCACCTGCAAATTTTCATTATAAACTGGTACTTACAGTTAATTACACTTCTGCATCAGACCATTTTCAAACAGAAATCAACATACTTTTTAGAAGAATTAATATAAAAGCACATTTTTCGTAGCTTTATAAGCTGATAAGTGTATGCTAATGTTAAGAGTCAAAGAATATGCCAAAATTTATTTATTTATATTTCAAGAGTTTTCATCAGATGTTTTTAAGAAACGTTTTCTCTCAAGTTCTAACAAATTGGCAATCTGTAAATGCATTTGTACAATTCTACAAGTAGCTTGATATCATAATTACTGTATAATTGGGGTACCATGCAGCAATTGGAATTTCCCTTGTTATTTATTTAAAGTAATCCTGGCTATAGGCTATCAATTTTTAATAAGCAAAACATAACTGCTGTGGTCTCGATGCTTTAGAAAGCATTTGGATACCCTAATCCTCTTGTACTGAATCCATATTTATTTATAATACTTTGTGTGCAAGCAAAACAATCCCTTCTAACAACCTTGCATAAACAATCAACCAGTGATTGACTTTAGAAGACTGTATGCTTGCCAGCATGCTTTGTAAATAGTGATTCTTTACCAATAAAGTTTCACATAAATCCATCTGCAGACTTACTCAAAAATGAATCACTTACATAATTTTATATCTGAGTTAGCTTGGTAACCTCAGGAAATTTGTCTCTTACAAACCTTGTGTTTCAGGCGTTCCGTCATCTGATTTAAATGTGGCCTTTATTTTTTCTGTAATTTACATTTCAGTAATTCTTGGAACTTTTAGCTGTGTGATCAAGTGGTTTAAGTTATAGAAAAACTGATGAGCTAAATAAAGATAGTGTGTAAAAAGTGTTTTCATTTTGCTTGTAAACAATGGTCTGAAAATTTGGTTAGTGCTTATTGGTAGGTATAAAACATAGTCTGCCTTATTGCATAGGCAAATTGTATTGGCGTTGGGAACATGAAATACTGGAAATAATATTGGAATTAGGTTGAGGTGTTCTTTTCAGGACCGGTCTTGATTTTTTGAACCCTCAGCAGTTCCCTTTTCACACACTAAATTTGGTGTGAACTGGTAGAAAGGCACGATAAGGTTTGTTACCAATACTAAATAACCATAGAAGCATATCCAGTAGTTGTGATGGTTAAGTGGCTACTGATATGTTGCAGATCACTTGAAATTATTCTTTAAACTTTTCTTTGTCAACATGTTAAATGTTAACTAACTGTAAATGTACTTTCATAACTTGACCAGATTGCCACATCCCAGGCTATCAGTTTATACACTATATTATAATGTATTGACTTGTGTATTGAGGTCGAGCATATTGAAATTGTTTATTTACTTGCCATACTTTGCTATTTTTAGAGGTTTAGTTCATGTACGAAAGGCTATGTAAACTTTCTGATAAGTTTTTTAAAAATCTGCACAACCTGTTGGCACGTAGATTCTTCTTTTATGGAAAAGAAAGAGATATAATTTAAATAGACAATTATCTTTTGTTTGCTTTCACTGATTTTTACCTCATTCATAGTGGTGAAGTAAAACAAAACCTATAAACACTTCAAAATTACGATCATTTAATAAGGTGATGAGATTGGGAGTTTAGTATCAGCTTGACAACTCTGTCAAATAAAGCTTTGCATACTTTAACCCAGCAATATTACAATGTATATTCCATGTAGCAGATAAAAGGTACTGACAACATTTAAAATAGTACAAAAAATTTAAAGCTTCCACATTAATTTGCCAACCAAATACAGAATTTTCTCTGCTCTATTTCAGCTTTGTTACAGTGGCTTAGAATGGAATTAAATTGAAAATGGAAACCAGATGATTTAAAAAAACAAACTAGAACTTTAGCTATGGATAATCTAGTTTTGGCGAGTTAATCTTGGCGATAATTTGTTTATATAAACAAAATGGAGTTAATATAATAGAACAAATAACTTGCTAGTTATAGCACCAGAAGCCAATGAATAAATTTACATGTAAATTTGTTGATAATTGAGAGTGGGGAATATTAAATTAAAAGTTACTTTTAATTGTATTTCATTAAATAAATAACTTATACTATTACCCATTATGTCAATGAAGAAACTAATTTGTGATTCAAAAGAACTCTAAAGGGACAAACGAGCTTAATTCCTATTGTTTCATCTTGATGACGGACCAAATTTGACTGCTGATATCCTGTTCTTGCCTTATGTATGCTAAATAGTCGAACTGCAGCATAAGTTTCTGCTGTATTTTTAGGAGAAATGGTTACAGGTATTGATGTGCGTTTTTTAAGAAAGGTAACTTCTTGCTTCATCTAACCAAAAAGTTTAAGATTAAAGTAAAAGCAATCCAGTGGTGCCATATAGTTTTATTAGAACAAGCACAGGTAGCAGCAGTGTACAGAATCACTATGTATATGCATTAGTTAACAATTGCACTTCTTCTGGGCCCTTTTCAGTATGCACTTCAGTAACCTATTTAAGCATCACTGCCAGGTTTCGCATCAGTCAGTTCATTTCAGTCTTCCACAACAACGCTACAGACTTTTGGTAAGGCATTTGTAACATTCATTGGCAGGCTAATTTAAACTTGCACGTGCAACTTAATTTACATTGCAAATAACACTGCAGTGTGCGTTCTTTCTAAACAAACATATATTAAAATCTATCATCTATTTAAGTCAGGCACAGCCTGAAAATACAGAAAAGTAGACACCTGTTGAAATATATAATACAGGTACAAAGCAGTTACTTTGTTCTGCAAAGCCCAATGCTTCAGTACGAAAGATGTTTTTCAATTCTCAAAGATGAATTCCATCCAAAGAATAAAGTGGCAAGGAGGGAGAATGCAACTTGATTGAATAACAGGGAGGATGGAATAAATATGTTTGGAAAATTTGAGTATGCTACATTAATATACAGAAGTATGGACATACAGTGGGCATCCATCTCCTTATACAGATAGCCAAACATTTTCTTTTCAAGGAAACTAATATTGTTTTAGACATTGTTACCCAGCTTTTTCTGGCAAAGACTATTTCAAGTTAAAACTTTAACTTATGGGGTTGGAAGGGATTTTTCCTTTTGAAATGAGATCTTTAGAAAATTTATTTAATGAAAAATAGTTTCTAAAATAAGAAAACAGCAACACTTAAAATCCAATACAATAAATTGATATCTCTAATTTTGGCCTAAGGATTGTGTTTGAATAGATTTAATATTTCAGCAATTGGACCTTAAGGCACTCGAGTAGAATTACTGATCAAGAAAGAACAGAAATAATGGATGTGTTAAATGTTTACAACTGATACAATTTTGTGACAGGTTAATGATTTAAATAATTTTAATGGCAAAATACTAATAAGAAAGCTTAATAAATGGTACAATTAAACACCTTCAGAGAATGGTGGATAATTTCAACACAACAGCAACATTAATAATTTACCTTATTGTTTAATATTAATGCTAGTTTTTGGAATATTAAAAATTCTTACTATGGAAGTATCAGTTAAAACCTTGTATTTACATTTTTAATTACACATCTACTTATGACAAGATGCATTCATTCTAGTACATTCTAACATGATCCACTGAAATATGTACACATATGATAAAGTAAACAATTAACTTTTAGTGCAATGTCTTTGTTTTATGTCAGGAAATTTTAACCAGTATTTTTCTTCAAATGCACTTCAAGGTTTTGTGATTCTATTTAGTTAAGAATCTCTGAACCCAGCTGTCCACATCAGTAAAGTGTGATTTTGAATTTTCTTAAAACTAATGATAACAATTACACTCGCCTAATTAAACAACAAAGAATTAAGATCTCCATTCATTCAGTATGCTTTTAGAATGGTAAAGAATTAAAGAGCCAAAAATTGTGAGCACACAATTTGTTTAAATGCTTGATTCCAACTTTTCTTTAAAAATAATGAATGGTTTCAATTATTAATTGTTGCTAAGTGGAAAAAAAATGGTAAAGAACAAAATAGTGTAGAAATGATGAATCTTTTGCGACTAATATCTCTCTGAAATGGCTGTAAAAGAAAGCTAGCAGCAATGCTTATTGAATCGCAATAAACTGCACTTAACCAGTTTAGATATACAATTCAATACATTAACTGAAATAGACTGTTTACATTGGCATTTGCACCAATCTCTGTTCCTTTTGGCATCCTTTTTCTTCAGGAATAGTGGTATTTTTCTAGAATCTAAACATATGTTTAGAGCGTGAATTTGTATTATCCTGCCATATTTAGATCAAATGTTAATTACTGAGTCAAATACAAAAGTCTATTTTCTTGTGCAATTTTAGTGCATTTTAAAATTGATAGGCCCATATTCATAAATATTACATAATGCAATTGAAAACTTGCATGGTGTTTTGTGGGCAGCTGTGATATAAAATGTTCATTTTACATATTTTGATCCACATTACAGCCTTCCATGATTCACTGAAGGCATTTAGACTCCAGTATGATGGGGATTGAGAGTTTAACTTTAATGGTAGTGGAAATGAAAATCAGAACACGTTTAAACAAAATGAAAATGCATGTGGTTGGAAGAATACGTTCAACTTAAGTATAATTGTCGTTAAATTTAAATACTTTTGGACAATCTGTGCACTCAGCAACACTATTTATTCAATTAATGGTTTTCTTATAAGTAAACTGAGTGGAGAGTGGCTTTTTTGCTTTGTATATCTTTCCTTTTCAATTTTCATTGTCATTAAAGAAGTTCCAATAATAGGTTTCTGTTAAAAACAAAGAACTGCAGGTGTTGGAAACCAGAAACAAATGCAGAAAGACTCAATGGGTCTGGCAGCATCTGTGGAGAGAAATCAGAGTTAACGTTTCAGGTCCAGTGACCCTTCATCAGAACAGGTTTCTGTTGAGTTATATTGTACTCGCATGTGAGAAACGGAAGGGGCCTACATATGTCTAAGGTACTTACAGTATTTTGAGTTTAAGTTCAGCATTGCAGATCTTCTTAATGTATGGTTGCAAGTTGAAATTTTGAGGTCATGACTTGAGACGTCAGTGGCTGACCCAACCCTCCTGTGACCCCTCCATGAGCAGTAGTTTAAGACTTGAAATGGGGCACAGTGAAAAAAGTTTGGAAAACACTGGTCTACGGTGTTAAATGTCTTGCTTGTTAGGACAACTTTTTGCTTATACCTGTAAGGCTGCTAAAGTATGTGGAACATTTCACATCAGTATAAAACATTACTGGTAAATCGTAGAATCCCTAGAATGTGGGAGCAGGCCATTCAGTCCAAGTCCACATCAACCCTCCAAAGAGCATCCCACCCAGACACATCCCCCACCCTATCCCTGTAACACTGCATGTCCCATGGCTAAATCCATCTAGCCTGCACATCACTGGACACTACGGGCAATCAGTCCACCTAACCTGCACATCTTTGGACTGTGGGAGGAAACCAGTGCAAACTCCACACAGACAGCCATCCCAGGGTGGAATCGAATCCGGGATCCTGTTGCTGTGAGGCAGCAGTGCTAACCACTAGATAGTTTATAAATTTTGAAACTGCAACGCAGAACACAAATGGCAAGCCAATTGAAAACAATGCCTAACGTAAATGGTGGAAAAAGTTTACGAATACTGAATGAGACTGCACATTGATGAATTTCAATCTAATTGTTTTGGACTCTAGGCACATTAATCTTTAGAATGATACTTAATGCTAACTCAGTTTTTAAATACCATAATGTAGATTTCCAGAATAAAAATGATGTTTGCTAAAAGTACTTACTATTTTTAAGGCATGTAAATGGATGATGAAACATTTTAGCAAAAGCTATGGCAAGTATTAATGCTTCATTAAGATTATAGTTTCATAAATATGTGACTGTCAAACAGCCATCCTTATTCTTGTGCATTCATTTTAAATTACACTTTTAGTTTACCAAAAATTCACAGCTTTAGTGGAAAAGAATTTTCTAAGCCAGTGTTTTGGTCGTGGCCTATTTTTATAATTATGTCTGTAATTAAACAGACGTACCTACCATATGACCAGCAAAACTGTAAGAATGCAGTAAGATTTATAATAGCTATAATAACTTATGCATAGTTAATTTCTTTGTGAAGACTGTCATTTTTATTTCTTCACTTTGTTACCAGAGTGCTATGCTTTCTAATTTACTAAATCCTGGATCCTTCCGCAGTTCCCAGTAGTTCCCATTGCTCATCCAGGATTCTCTTTGATTACTGTCAAGTACTTTCCTGCAAAAAAAAGGGACTTCTGTTAAAATTACCTACAAATTCAAAATCTTTTTTATATAAAATAACTAATGATGATTATTCCTGAAGTACAACAGAATGCGCCTGACAGACTAATACAGTAATAGTCAGCACTCACTTAAAAAATCGGGGTTGATAAGTTGTATTGCTTTCTTCCATTAATCTTCTCCGCTCTCTTTGTAATTCCTCTATTCTACGCTTCTCAGCTGCAGCAGATTCAATATTTCCTTCTTCAAGGAATCTGATGAGAGGTAGGAATTGGAATTTGTGTTAGAAAAATACTATTTTATCCTGAAAACAAAATCCAGCCATCTACGTGTATTACAAACCTAAATCCCACAATTACCTTGATTACACAGCCTCACACCCGATAACCACTCTATTCCATCTGTTCTGATGATACCACCTTCCATAGTGGGGCCTCTCAAATGTTCACCTGTTTCTTCAACCAAGGATTTGCTAGTACCATGGGGACCCATTTCCCATACTTCTGTCCTCACTCGTTACCTTCCGCAACAATGAAAGGGTCCACCAGTCGTCACTTCCCACTCCATCAGTATCTACATCTAAAAAGGATTATAAGCCACCTTTCCTGCTGCCACCAACAGACACACATTTCCCTCCAATCCACTGTCAGCATTCCACAGGTTCTGTTCTCTCCAAACACCCTGGTCCACTTCTCCGCTTTCCACACAATTGTAGAAGGTGCAACATTTGTCCATTTGCCATCTTCCCCCTTCTCTATCCAAGATCCCGGACACCTTCCAGGTGAAGCAGTGATTTACCTACTCTTCGTTCAATCTAGTCTGCTGTATTTACTGCTCATAATGTGGTCTCTTCTACAGTGGGCAGACAAAACACATGCTGAATGCCTATGCCCTGTCCATTAAAATTGACCCCAAGTTTCCAGTTGCCTGTCACTTCAACACATTGCTATGATCCCGTGCCAATATTTATCTCTGGCCTGCTGCAGTACTCCATCAAGGTTCAATACAAGCTGGAGGAACAACACATCTCTGCCTAGGTACCTTACAGGCCTCAGGGACGCAACATTAAGTTTAACAGTTTGAGTATGAACACCGTCCTCAGCATAAGTAACACCTATCCCCAACTGACATCCTGACAGAGACAGATTAGGGTTGCTTTCCTTAAAGATGTGATTGAGATGTATAAAACGAGGGGAATAGATCGGGTAGCCAGGGAAAAAATTCTTCCTTTGGTGGACTGATCAATGACTAAGGGTGAGCAAGGCAGAAACCTTCACAATATTTAAGACGTGGACTTGTAATGCCAAGGTGTACAAGGCAATCAGCTAAGGGCTGGAAAATGGGATGAGAATAGTTAGGTAGTTGGTTTTGACTGGCGCAGACATAAAAAGGGCCTCCAGCCCATTACGTGTTAGAGATCTCGATGACTAATTCTGCTACTGGTTGATTTGTTTCCAGGATTCTGACTTGTACATAAGACAATATCCCTGCCCAGAGCCTGGAAATAACCTGCCTCTCAGGTGGAAGAAAATTAATAAAACAACTTACCAACTCAAAAGTTTGATCATGATAGAACCCTTCAATATTATGTTTCTAGGTTCCTTCCCAAATGTAACGTACTGTCTTGAACTTACAGGGGTGCCTGGTAAATAAGTCTTCCATTAAGGTGGAACTGTTTGTGGAAAGTGAATTTTGTTACTGTATACCATTTCCTGAATTGAATCATTCATTAATTTAAAGCAAAATTTGCCTAGGCAGTTTGTCACTGACATTTATATTGTACCTATATTTAAAAGATCCCATCGCCTTGTTCTAGCTCAGTTGGCTAGTTGTGATTTGTGACATCAACAGCCCAGCTTCAATTCCCACACTGGCTGAGGTTACCATCAAGATCCTGCCTTCTCAACTTCATCCCTTGCTTGAGGCAATGGTGACCCTCAGGTTAAACCGTCAGTCTGTCTAATGAGAAAGTAGCACTTTAGTCATCTGGGAGTGTGGCGACTTAAGAACTGGAATACCAGGCCAGTAAGTGCAGAGACTGGGGACGAAAGCATGATAGAGATATGAGTAACAGCAGGCACAGGGAAGTAGCAGGGCTCAGAGGGACTGGAGGACTGGAATGCATTTAGTTCAATGCAGGAAGTATAGCAGGTAAGTCAGATGAACTAAGAGCATGGGTTACTGCATAGAATTATAATATTGCCATTACAGAGACATCATTAAAGGAGAGACAGGACTGGCAGCTTAACATTCCCGGATATCGTTGTTTTAGACGGGACAGAAAGGGAAACAAAGGGAGTGGGGGAGTTGCACTGCTGATGAGGGATCACATCACAGCTATGTTGAGGGACGACACATTGGGGGGATCTTGCAGTGAGGCATTATGGGTGGAGCTCAGGAACAGGAAGGGTGAAATTACAATGTTGGGAGTTTTTTATAGACCTCCCAACAGCCCACAGGAGACAGAAGAGCAGATATGTTGTCAGATACTGGAGAAGTGTGAAAAGAACAGGTTAGTTGTGGTGGGTGACTTCAACTTTCCTCTTATTGACTGGGAATCCCTTAGTCCCAGAGGCTTGGATGGAGAGCAATTTGTTAGTTGTGTCCAGGAGGGCTTTTTGAGGCAGTATGTTGACAATCCAATCACAGAGGAGGCCATATTAGACTTGTTTCTACGGAATGTGCCAGGACAGGTGACTGATGTTTCAATAGGAGAGCATTTTGGGCTTAGTGACCATAACTCCATAAGACTTCGAGTAGTCATGGAAAACCTCGGGTGAGGGTGCTTAATTGGGCAAGAGCCAATTACATGCAAATTAGACGTGAACTGGAGCACGTGGATTGAAAGCAGTTATTTGAGGGCAAATCTACATCTGGCATGTGGGAGGCTTTTAAAGACCAATTGACAAAGGTGCAGGACATGCATGTCCCTGAAAAACTAAAGGAACAATGGATGACAATGAAAATTGTAAGGTTAGTCAAAAGAAAAAGGGAAGCATACGACAAGTCTAGGCAGCTACAAACTGACGAGGCCCTGAAGGAGTACAGAGAAATTAGGAAGGAACTTAAATGCACAATTAGGAAGGCAAAAAGGGGCCATGAAATGTCTTCAGCAAACAGGATCTAGGAGAATCCCAAGGCTTTTTATGTATATGCTAGGAGAAAGAGGATAACAAGGGAACAAGTAGGCGCACTTAAGGATGAAGGTGGGAAGTTATACGTAGAGCCACAGGAAGTGGAGGAGATCCTGAATGAGTACTTTGTATCAGTTTTCACCAAGGAGAAGGACATGACTAATGTTGAGGTCAGGGATGAGTGTGTGAACACTCTACAGAATGTCAATATATTGAAAGGGGAAGTTTTGGGAATCCTATATTGCATTAAGATAAACAAGTCCCCAGGACCAGATGGAATCTATCACAGGTTGCTCAGAGAGGCAAGGGAGGAAGTAGCTGGAGCATTGGCAGATATCTGAACATCCTCGTAGACCAAAGGTGAAGTTCCAGAGGACTGGAGATTAGTGAGTGTTGTTCCCTTGTTTAAGAAAGGATGCAGGGATAATCCAGGAAACTATAGACTGGTGAGCTTGATGTCTGTGGTGGGCAAGCTCTTGGAGAAGATATTGAGGGATAACATATCTGGAGGAAAATGGACAAGTTAGTTACAAGCAGCATGGTTTTGTCTGGGGATGGTCATGTCTCACAAACCTGATTGAATTTTTTGAAGAGGTAATGAGGATCATTGATGAGGGAAGGGCTGTGGACGTAGTTTATATGGACTTTAGTAAGGCATTTGATAAAGTCCCACATGGCAGGTTGGTACAAAAACTAAAATCACAAGGGATTTGGGCTGGCCTGGCTAAATGGATAAAAAACTGGCTTGGTCATAGAAGACAGGGTAATGGTGGAAGGATGATTTTCCAGAATGGAGACCGGTAACTAGTGGTGTTCCACAGGGGTCAGTCTTAGGTCCTTTGTTGTTTGTAGTATATATAAGTGATCTGGAAGAAAATGTGTGTGGTCTGATAAGCAAGTTTGCTGCTGACACGAACATTGGTGGAGTTGCTGATAGTGCCAACAATTGTGAAAGTATACAACAGGATATAGGCAAATTGCTGACCTGGGCACAGAAATGGCAGATGGAGTCTAATCCAGACAAATACGAAGTGATGCATTTTGAAGGATCAAATATGGTGTGAATTATATTGTAAATGGCAGAACCCTTAGGAACATTAACATTCACACCGATCTGGGTGTGCAGGTCCACAGTTCCTTAAGTGGCAACATGGGTAGCCAAGGTGATTAAGAAGGCATATGGCATGCTTGCCTTCATCGCCTGGGGCATGAAGTACAAGAGTTGGCAAAACATGTCGCAGGTATATAAAACCCTTGTTTGGCTTCATTTGGAGTATTGTGTGCAGTTTTGGTCACCACACTACCCAAAGGATGTCGAAGCTTTGCAGAGAGTACAGAGAAGGTTCACCAGGATGTTGCCTGGTCTCCAGGGCAGTGACTGAGGAAAGGTTAAAAAGACTAGGATTGTTTTTATTGGAAAGGCATTGGCTGAGAGGAGACCTGATAGAGGTCTACAAAATTATGAGCAGCATAGATAGGGTGGAGAGTCAGAGGCTTTTTCCCAGGGTTGAAGTTTCAATTACAAGGGAGCGCAGGTTCAAGGTCAGAGGGGAAGGTTTATCATAGAACAGAATCGTCGAATCTCTACAGTGTGGAAACAGGCCCTTTGGCCCAACAAGTCTGCACCGACACACACAACAGCCCAGCCGGGCCCATCTCCCTATAACCCATCTAATCTATACATCGCTGAACGCCACGGGCAATTTAGCATAGCCAATCCACCTAGCTTGCACATCTTTAGACTGTGGGAGGAAACCCACGCAGACGCGGGGAGAATGTGCAAACTCCACCCAGACAGTCACCCGAGGGTAGACTTGAACCTGGCTCCCTGGCGCTGTTAGGCAGCAGTGCTAACCACTGTGCCACTGTGGGAGATGTGCGAGGGAAGTTTTTCATGCAGAGAGTGGTGCCAGCCTGGAATGCACTACCAGAAGATGTGGTGGAAGTGGGCACATTGAAGACATTTAAGAGGCACCTAGATGGGTACATAAATAAGAAGGGAATAGAGGGATATGGATTGAAAAATGGCAGGTTTGTTTTTAGATTAATTAGGGCATAATGGTCGGCACAGGCTTGGAGGGCCAAAAGCCCTGTTCCTGTGCTGTACTTTTCATTTGTTCATTTCCTTTACATGAACAAATGAAATGAACAAAAGAACTAACATTGACAATCAACAGAATGCTGTCTCATTCAAGGTAACACAATATTTGAGCTGTGGGGGTTGTGTATATTTAAGGCCAAAATAAGCAGGTTCTTTATCAGTAGGGCAAGTCAATACTTATGGGGAAAGGGCAGGGAAGTGGATGAAAGGTATGTTCGATTAGCCATAATCCTATTGATTCATGGATGAGGCTACAGGGACTCCTGTTTCTATTTCTTGTGGTTTTACCCTTCCAGACAAGCAGTCATAAGAAGAGGAAGTAGAATTAGGAGAAGACCAATCCACCCCTCGTTTGCTTGGCCAATGATTATGACGAAGCTAGTCCTCAACTCTTCACCCCTCCACCCCCAAAAAAGTCCAAAAATCTATCAAATCATTCCTATTCCTAAACACGTTCAATAACTGAGTAGCCTTAGCTGCTCTGGAGCATAGAAGTTCAACAATTCACAAATCCTTGCCTGAAGCAATTATCATCTCAGCCTCATGATTTTCTAAATGTACTGTTTCTTTGTGCTTTCTAGTCATTCCCTGTTTTTACTTGACAACTGCTGTCAGACATTTAAACTAGTTCCTTGCCCCTTTTTCTCTCAGCTTTCTTGAATAGCAATGTTAGAATAGTTATCTCCCAGTAAATGGGACCATTCCAGAATTTGGGGGTCATCAATCAGCACTTTTGTAGCAAGTAATATCAGAATGTATAAATGGAATATTTTAACCATTTTCACCTTTGATCTGGTCTAAATCTGGCATCTGTTGATGGGAGGAACTGTTTCAACACTGGATCCAATTCATTCAGCTCAATAGCGAATCTTGTAAATCCATAATACATGTCACTGTTTGTTGGCATAGAGCCTGTGGAGTTAAATTAAATGCATATATAACTAGAATAACTATCTCAAAATCATTGTCATGGAAATACACAGCAATTACACCACCTTCATTGAAAGTAAATTACTGAAGACAAAGATTTATCCTCTTCCATTGCCTGTTGCACAGCATTAGAGAGATCATGATAACATCAAACACAAAGGTTTTGCAGCTTTAAATTTTTGATATTCAATTGGTAATGGTTCATAATAATTTATTTTGTCAAATGATGTAAAAGATTGTGTAATCTTAAATGCTTTTAAAATGTCCATATTTTTGTACATGTTATGATTTTTAGATTACTAACACAATGAATGTCATGCACGAGATCAGATTAGGCTGACAAACCAATAAACATTATTTGAACAAAATGAACATTAACACAGCAGAAGCAGCTAAAATTATTCAGTTCATGAGGGAATACACTACCAATGTACTGTTATGACACTTCTGTTTGCCATTCATGTTGTATCACTTTTGTTAAGAAAGCATTTAGAGTACATGAACCATCAACCTTAACCAATTTGTTTCAAAAATGTGGTTAACTTTGGATAGTCCAGAACCAAGGCATGACCAAACCCAGCAGACAAATTCCCTGGAGGAGAAAGGCCCATTAGTGTATATAATGGTATTGTATGTGAATGTGATGCACTGCCTTGTGAAACCTGGTCTCTAAAGAGGTTAAAAGAATTCTGATGGTACCCTCCCCCCTGGTCTTTTAAAAACATACTTGACAAATGTTTTGAGTGTGCGTGGCATGTGATCAGATTGAGGGTGAAGGCTCAAGGATGACATTCCCAACAGGAGGCTGTGACCCCCAAGTAGCCACTTAAGGGCTCTGTCACTATTGACCAACACTTATTGAACATCACTAGCTGCCTTGAGCTGTATAGCGCTGAGGCCCCGTATGGATTTTTGCTGCAGCCGAATGGAATTTTCTGTTCTTCGGTCAATCCTCTAAACCAGGCTGATATATTGCCCCTAGTGCCTTGTGTTTTATTTTAAATTCAATTCAAAATTTTTATTTTATAAATTGCTTTAGAATATCCAACATCCATTAGTATACAACATCCATTAGCTTTACTTCATCTGCCCTGCTAGTTACACCCTCAAGGAACTGTAATAGATTTGTCAACCATGATTTCCCTTAAAGGCATATTTGGCTGCCTCATTATTTTCTAAATGCACTGTTTCCTTGTGCTTTCTAACAGATCCCAACATTTTCCTGACGACTGATGTCAGGCTATCTAGGCCAGTACTTAAACATGCTGTATCACATGAATAGACCACAAGCTATACCCTGACAGATAAGCTATAGGCCCAGAGGGAAGAACTGGTCAATGGGAAGAGAGGGATTGAGAATGAAATCCTCTTTGGCCTGCATGTCAACTCTTTCCCAACCTTTTCACGCAGGGGCCTCCTTGTACGGTCTCAGCAAATCTACCCCATTTACGTTATACTTGGGGCTCCATCACCAATTGTCTGCAAGGCCACAGCGCAACACTGCTCCCTGCTGTCCCTGACCGGCCAGCAGCACCAAGGGATGGGAAATCTACTCTACATTAGGATTTTGGAGGAATTATCCCTCACAGGAGCTGGGAAGTCTGATGGTGGGAACAATGTCTCCAGTTGGGATTTAATTCAATTGGGCCCCCTGAAAATGGCTTCAGCAAGGACGCCATCGGTGTTCCTGTCTTGAACATGTCCCTGGCCATGACCATTAAGTTCCGTGCATTATCTATTCTTCCTACTCTCTCATCTTCTACATTTCCAAACTTTAGACAGGGCAGGAACAATGGTTATCGGAGTAGTGTAAGAAATAGGTGCAAGAGTAGGTCATATGGCCCTTGAGCCTTCTTTGCAACTCAACTCCACTTTCTTGCCCACTACCTGTATCGCTTCAGTTCCTGAGAGCTCACTATTTTCAAAATCTCTGACTTGAATAAATGTAATGATGGAACACCCTAAATGATCAATCACTTTTACCTGAGGTTGTGCTTTGGTATTCTATTTTCCCAGCTGAGGAAACAACCTCTGTGCCTATCTTGCCAAGCATCTTTGGAATGTTATAGGTTTCAGTGAAATCACCTCTAAACTCCTAGAATGTTGGATCAATTTACTCAGCTTCTCATTACATAGCAACTTTCTCATCTCAGATACCAATTTTGTGAACTTTTGCTGGACTGCCTCCAAGGAAAGTATATCTTTCTTTAAATATGGAGCCACAGGACTGTGCACAGGAAGGCAAAAGTGTTTAATTGTGGATGTACCAAACTCTCTTCCGGCCAAAACAATTAAGTTGTAGCTAGGCAGGAAAGCATTAATAAACAAAACTACAGTGTATTCAATTGGCTTAAGCAAAACCTACGGCTGCAATTTCAGTTTTCTCACATTCTACTAAAACATTCTGTGATACAGCTAACAATTCCTAACTAATATTGTATGCCTTGCAGATGAAATTTATCACACAATGAAAACAAGTGTCTACAACCACAGCTTCAACAGCTTTCCACTCTCTCAAACATGCCTCTTGCACACCCCACTGAGCCTAGGAATGATTCAGAGAACAGAAGTCATACGATGTCAAGCACGAGAAAGTGAAACCCCCTTGCAAGGGGGTAACAGTGGGAATATATCACGTACAGGAGGATAGCGATATGCTGACAGGTATACAGACACTTTTGGCAGTACTGGGAATAGAAGGTACGGTTTGCTGTTAGATTTTATTGAATTTGCATTAAGCAAAGTGGCTGCTAACTTACCACAACTAATCACGCAGGAAAGAGATTTTCAATTTTATTTATTTAATATGACTTAAAGTAGAGTGGCCTATAACTGGGAATACTTCTGGAAGTATTCTAGAGGCCATATAAAAAGTTAGGAGCAATTTAACTTAATTAGTCTGGAGCAAACAGGAAGGATTTGGATCAGATACTTATTTCAAACATAACCCCCAAACATATACAGTATTGACTTTAGTAGGATGCTTAAAGTCCAGATGGAAAATGGAAGTTAAAGTTAAAGAAGTTAACTGGATTCACACAGGTTTGTGTGAGGTTAAAATTATTCCTGATAGAGAAATATACAAGGAATAAAAAAGGCCCTTCAGTCCTTCGAGTCTGCCAGTCAAAAACAACCATCTAACAATTCTAATCCTATTTTCTAGCACTTGGCCCATAGCCTTTTATGCCTTGACATCACAAGTGTAAATCTAAATACTTCAAATGTTATGAGGGTTTTGCCTCAACCATCCTTACAGGCAGTGAGTTCCAGATTCCTAACTGTTCTCTCACATTCCCCCCAAACCTCCTGCCCCTTACCTTAAATTTGTGTCACCAATCATTGACCCCTTCACCAAGGGAAAAAGTTTCTACCCTGTTTGTGCCCCTCATAATTTTATATATCTCAATCATGTTCCTCCCTCAGTCAGCTCTGCTCCAAGGAAAACAAACCTAATTGATATTTTGAATATCCTTCCAGTTTTATTACCGAATTTACTTTAAACAAAACACACGTGTCAAACATAAAACCTCTAAGTTGTTGCTGTGGAAATTCAATGTGTTGAAGGAACCCGACAATGGAAAGTTGTTAGTCTAAAAAATAGGATGCGTCGCATTGTTGCTGTAAATGATGGTCCCTTGCAAACACAAATTTAACCAATTCACACTCTATACATTGACCTTCAGAATTTGTCCAATGGTAAATCACTCATTAATGTATTCACCTGGTCTCCAAGTGCACTTGGCAGAGGGTGCAACTCCACAGTACAGCCCTTCGTGCCACTTGCCAAACAGTCGACGTACTACCTTCCCTTCCTGATCCATCACTAGTCCTTGGACCTCATTTACGTTTGAGCTCCAGTAACTTCCCTTTGCAAATAAAGAAAGAAATATGATTCATATGATAGCCATATGCTGATCTAATAGTCTTTACACATTAATTTTGAAATAAGGCAACTCTTTTCTCTTTTAAATGAGGTTCCTTTTCTTTTGCCATTACAAGGCAATGGGAAGTGTATTACACATATGTTAGAGTTAATGGTACTCAATAAGTGTCAATATAAAGTAATATCTAAAGCAAAACTGCATCATATAATTATATCAATTTAATGTTAGTAATATAGTAGAACTAAATTGAATAATCATGTTTAAAAAGGTACTCGAGTTACATTTTCACAGACAAGTTCAATAGAATGACAATTCCTTTTTGCATATTGTTAAGAATAACCTTCTTATAATAATGCAAATTTATCTGTGTTTACCTTAATAAAAGTCAGTTTACAAATGCACACATTATTTTTTGTGTTTCTAATGGTGATTTCTCCATAGTGTTCTATCCAACGACGTCCACTCAGGATGTTGTGTATGCAGGTGGTAACTTTGTTCCATTCAAAATGATCTCCATATCTAAAATTTCAAGTAATTATTCAGCAATGAGACTGCTAATTTAGATGGTAGAAAAGACAACAAGGAATCTAATTTAGATGTGATTCCCTTGTACCTCAAATAACTAGGGTGACAAAACAAACAGTAAAAACCACAAAAAGGAGCATGAAAAACCCTTCAGGGATATTAAAATCAATTTATAAGCTTTTACAATTATATTAGGAAAAAGAAGGGTGGTTGGAAGAAATGTGGGTTGCTGATAATGTCAATGAAAATAAAAAAAAAATGGATAGACATACTGAAAAATGACTTTGCTTCAGTTACAGTGAAGAAGCAGGTCTATAGACCAGGCCCTCCTCTTGCTACTTATTTGCTATTTTAATCTCTAAAGATCATTTTTAGCTTCTTCCTAATGCCACTGCCAGTCTCTTCACATACACTTTCTTTGCCACATTTCCTTTATCATTGTCCCTTTGAACTTCCTGTAGTTAACCTAGTTCTCACTATTATCACATAACATCTGACATAGGCCCCCTTTTTCTGTTTTATCTTACTCCATCTGTTGATATCTGGATTTAGTTGCCCTACGAATCCAGCTTGTGGAAAAAGTACCTCACTGTACCTTAACCATCTCTTTAAAGAACAGCCTGTTGCAACATTTCGATTTTGTTTGACAATCTTTCATTCCAATTTACCCGAGCATTCTCAACTCAACAAAATTCACCCTCCTCCAGATCTTTTATATCAGATTGCTCCTCATCATTTTTTCATAGCTAATTTAAACTTTATGATCGTTCCCTAAATATACACCTACTGACTTTTGATTGACTTCACCCAGTTCATTTCTCAGTTTCACACACCACCTCTTACCATCAAATGCAGATTAACATGTTCCTCAGAAATTCTTCCTCTTCTCTGGCCTTTACGCTGTTGCTTTCCCAATTTAATGTTAATAGCTTGCCAGACAGGGAAACAACCTCTCATTTTGGTTGTAACCTTTGGGAAAAGTTACTTTTTATCTGGACTATTGTTAGAAGTGCAGTAATTCAATCATTTGTTTTGAACTAAGAGAATTTGTAACTCGAAAGAATGAGTGGGAGGGGAGCACTAAAACAAAAGGACTTTGTGGTGTAGGTTCTGAAATGGATGTAGAGTTGAGGAATTACTGGTCCATATTGGGCTGGGCATGTTTCTTTTAACTGCCAAACATCTACTGGTGCAAACTGGAGGTCAGAGGGCAGCAACTAGTAAAGATTGGCACACAACGAATACATTGATCCTGTCGCCAGGATAGCGGGCATGCATTGAGATTAATTTCTTGATGTAGTCATGGTCCAAATGCATGTCAGACAGTGCTAGCCTTATGATTGTGTATCAGTATTGTTTGGGTGCAGTGGTGATGTAAGGGTGTAGATTGTAGAAGTGTAATTTGGAAGGGTACGAGCTCCAGTATAATAGTTACTCAGGAGTTAGACTGTGTGATTAACAGTCCAACTTTTCCTGAGTAAATATTTTACTTAATTTCATTGGAACCAAAGTCTCCAATTTAAATGGAGACTTTAGGAGGGATACTAATAGAAAGGTATTGCCCAGAGACACATTCAATATTCCAGACAGTTCATTTGGAATGTGCTATGATGGGGATTCCACAGGTTCCTATGCACAGCTCCTACCTTTGCTGCAATAAGGATGCTGTACACTGCAGTGGCACAATCTACCCCACTGTAACAGCTGCCCTCATACCTGTGCAAAGCACTAAAATTTCCTCCTTATGTGCAGCAAAAATCTGATAATAACTATAAACAGCTCATCGAAGAACTTCCACAACCCTTGCCTTAGCATAATCAAGTCAGAAATACCTTTCCAATAGCACCAAGACAAGGCCCCATCTTGCATTATAAAACTTGTTGTTCAAAAATAACTATCTGTTCCTTCCTGTTCATCTTTACTCAAATTGATTACTGTTACTATTGCCTTGACATTTCTCTTTAGGTTTATAACTTTCCTCTCATCCATCCATTCTGTTCTTCCTTTGTCATTTAAATGTCTACCTATAGATCAATTTGCTAGGGCAATGAGCCCAGCTTGGTTTAAGTGGAGCTCATATAATGCAACAGCTTTCTTTCTGCATTACTGGTGCTAATGTGCCATGCATGCATCAAAAACCACCCCCACCACCTCCACAAACTCTCCCAGCCAAGCTTTTAACTTTGATGTGTCTGCCTATGTGAAATTGTACGTGGTTCACGTAGTCATCCCAAGATTATAAGGCTTGACATTCTGCTTATCAATTTGAATCTCAGCTCCTGAAACTTGCTGCACTGCAGAATCTCATTGTTGTTGATTGCTATGTGAACTGTGACAACTAGAGCCTCCTCCTTCAAGGATTTCTCCACTCACAACACTGACACTGGGCAGGAAACACCCCACTTAGGATTCCATGTCGCGGCTGAAGTTTCTACTCCCCCAGCTATACTCCCCCTACCAATACTACCTTCCTTTGTCCCCATCCAATTCAATGATCAACTGTACCATTGCCAGTGCCCATAATCACTGCAGTCCTCCAATAATATTAGACAGTAAAATTAAAAGTTTTAAAAAGCATGACTATACCAAATCTTAATTTTGTAAATAGATTAATGATAAAGTACACTGAAAGCTTTCAGATTGAAATTCGCTGGAAAGTACTCAATAAACTCACATCCTAATTTTATTTAGCATTGTAATATTGAGTGGACAACCATTAAACATTTTAAAGCAACTTGCTGTATGTGTGCATGCTTAAACATTTGATCAAATCAAAATAAAATTAAACTCACTTAGGTAGCATGACATTCACTCTTCCTATTGGGAGTATTTCCATGGATTTTCCCCAAAATTTATTCTTCCATCTGATATCTAAAAGCAATGGGAAGTTTGATTATAATAAAAATTGAAACCATGCATTTTCTTATAGATACACATCACTGCATATTAGTTTAAAGTTTTTTTGTGACTATATCTACATGTAAAAACTTGGAAAGGTGTTTAATGCTGTCACCACTGATGAGGTTTTGCTGTTCAAGTAACAATGAGGTGAATGGAACTTGTAATTATTTATGCATAAATGGTTCAGCAACTTCACATAGGAAGCAGATGAGCTGTTAATTGACAATAATCAAAAGTTGTCAGAGTTGTACGGTTCCATCTATAGCTTTGCAAAATTTCGATTTTACTGTTTACCATTGAATGACATGAAGGTGTAATATTGTCACAGTATACAAAAACTAAACTTGCCTTCAAGTTAAATTCATAAGTGCAACATATTAAGTATAAGCTATCTTTTAACTATGTGATGATTGCACAGCCTGTCAGCCTCCCTGATGCTGATAATTAAATATTGAAAGTGATACAAATAGTCATTTGGTAGTATGAATCTATAGTATTGCTGAAGAAAAAGCACATTTTGTTGGTTCTTTTCATTTTGTTCCCATCAAGACACTCACAAGAATACCAATTAAAAGATTATACATTTAATGGTATGGTCCTGGGAAGTGTTGCTGAACAAAAAGACCTTGGAGTGCAGGTTCATAGTTCCTTGAAAGTGGAGTTGCAGGTAGATAGAATAGTGAAGCAGGTGTTTGGTATGCTTGCCGTTATTGGTCAGTGCATTGAGTATTGGAGTTGGGAGATCATGTTGCGGCTGTCGAGGACAATGATTAAGACAGGGTTTTGGATTACAGCACGCAATACTAGTCTCCTGCTGTAGGAAGGATGCTGTGAAACTTGAATGGTTCAGAAAAGATTTACAAGGATGTTGCCAGGGTTGAAGGTATAGGGAGAGGCTGAATAGGCTGGGATATTTTCCCTGGAGCTTCGGAGGCTGAGGGGTGATCTTATAGAGATTTATAAAATCATGAGGGGCATGGATAGGGTAAATAGACAAGGTCTTTTCCCTGGGGTGGGGAAATCCAAAGCTAGAGGGCATAGGTTTAAGGTGAAAGGGGAAAGATATAAAAGGGGCCTAAGGGGCAACTTTTTCATGCAGAGGGTGGTGCATGTATGGAATGAGCTTCCAGAGAAAGTGGTGGAGGCTGGTACAATTACAATGGGTGTACGAATAGGAAGGGTGTAGAGGGATATGGGCCAAATGCTGGCAAATGGGACTAGATTTATTTAAGATATCTGGTCGGCATGAACAAGTTGGACAGAAGAGTCTGTTTCTGTGCTGTACATCTCTTTGACTGTAGGACTGTATACTGTATGAGAAGGTTGTGTTGACTGGTTGACTAAATTTAAAGCAGGCACAACGTGTGTATGTGTTTCTGTCTGCATAGTATGCTTGTGTATTTGCAAGCCGAGCTGATTCTTAAGTTGGTTGACAGCATAATTCTCAGCACACTCGGGATTACTTAGCAAATATTGTCCAATTGCTGAATCAAGCCTGCTGGAACCTAGTTTGGGTTTTGCAAGAAGGGGTTCTTGTGAACAGTCAGTACCTTGCCTATTATGAACAGCTGAAGGGATATGCTGTTTGATACGATCTGCCTTTGTCTTTGGGATGTACATTTTACATAAGTAATATCATTCTGGCAATGAAATTCACACACTGGAGTGTGAGGCAGAACATCTTTTTGGCTCGATGACATCATCCTTAACTAATGAACACCACACGTGTTGCTACTGCATAATAACAGCACAAAACAGTTAGCTTCATCTGTTGCTCAATTTTTTTTAGATGCGTTAACCTTCTAGGATAATCTGAGGTAGACGGGATGTATTTCTGGCCAAAAGCTTTAGGCCTGTTGATTAATTTGCACAATATACAAATGAGAAATGATCTGATCATGGCTGCCATTTTCTTACAGGACAGCTAGCACAAGCCCACCTTCATTGGTCAATATACAATACGTAGTCCATGCACTGTAAGACTGGTTTTATCAGCAACCCTATAAAGATAGCTTGAGTCATCTGCTCCCCATGCAAGCTTGATGTTGCTACAGAGCTAATCAAATATCCAGAGGTTCCATGTCTCAGTGGTTTTTACTTTCAAGAGTTTAATAGCTTTGGGGGTGGGGGGTGTGCGGAGTTGGAAGTATGGCGAGGGTATTGGCCACCCCTCAATAATGCATGTCAGCGCAGATCAAGGGAACGCCCTGCCAAGTGACAGGCAGCCTGTGCTGGTTTACAGGTTAGGTGGACAACTGTTACATTCTCTCACCTAGAACTGAGACAACCGCAGAAAGCAAAGAACTGCAGGTACTGGAAACACTTCTGAACACTTCACTTCAAAAGAGGTTCGCTGGGCTTGAAATGCTAAGTCTGGGTCTCACTCTGCAGATATTGCTAGACCTGCTGAGTTTCTCCAGAAATTTCTGTTTTTGCTTGCGATAACTGCAAGTCAGTTTGGGATAGGCTTTTAATCATTCCTTGTAATATTGCATTCATTGATTTATCCCTGAAGGGGCTGAACTGGTGGCCGGCTGGGAAAGGGGAGATTGAGCTTTCCTGGCCAGTACTTAATCTGGTTGGAGACTGGAAGGCAGCAGGGACCTGGGCCTGTTTAAGTTGCTTTTCTGCCGTTGGCCATCCACAGCTGGAACTGGAAAATATCACCCCAAGATCCTGGGAGCTCTTTTTTTAAAAGCCACTCTCTCAATCTGCACTGTCACTGTCAACAATTAGTGTACACACAGCTGGGTCTCTCTGGTCCTGCACTCCCTTTCAAGTTACACTTGCTCTTTTTTATTTCCTCTCCTCATTCTTTCTGTCAAGATGTATTACATCATACTTCTCTGCATTAAACTTTATTTGTCATGTGTCTGCTTATTCCACCAGCGTGACAAATAAAACATTCCACTTAAATATAAATAGAAGACCAAATTTAAGTGTTATCTTTCTTGCCACATTTAGCCATGTTTATTTAAGCCAAGCCTTTTAAATTTGTTACAGTGAAGTTTGGCAAAGACAGATAGTTGGAAATTGTTTACGACCTTCGGGTTTTTTGTCTTCTCAGTTCTTGCCATAAAACTTCAAACCCTAAACAGACTAATGGTGCAAATAAAGAAAAGGGCCAGTTAGTTTATTGCCTAAGCTGCAGCACAGAATGACCACCGGGATACAAGGTTCAATACCCATTTTAACTGAGGTAGTTAATCGGGGCTTAACTTGCTGCATAGCAATATCGTAACTTAAACCACGATTATCAATCTTCTGTCGACAGAAGCAAAGGGTGAAAACAAGGAATGCCCTGTACTTGTCATTCACTACAGCTGTTAAACTACCTCGATATTTTCCCTCTGAGAACATGCAAAAAGCTGCTGAGAGTTTGGGGTCAGTCGTGTGCATCCTTCCTCCATCATAACCAAATTCCTACGTGTAGGTTTAGCTGTTAAAAGAGTGGGACTACTGCAAGGAAAGAGCTACACTCCCTGTACTGGACATGTTTAATTTTAACAATTCTGGTGTGCAAGTAGGAAAAGAATCAGTGGTTATTAGAAAAAGGAACAAAGCAAAGCGTGTACTACACCATCTGAATTCTCTTGCAAATCTCTTTCAAAATTCTTTCAGTGACAATATTAAACTCCTGTCAGTCACACCTCTGCACCTGTCCTTTAACTGAATTTAAACCCTGGCTTACCACAAGGCATGTCATCAGATATCTGATGATGAATTTACTAAAAGAAAGGCCTTTCATCCAATGCTTTCAGCAAAATCGAACATTGTACTTCAGCAGAATAATCCAAATCCAAATAACCTGGAGAGAACTTCAGCTTTCAGTAAAAGGAAAGAGACTGAGCAGCCAACAATTTAGAGAGCCATCCAACACTAACACCAACACAATTTGTGGGATGTGGCTATTTAGGTGACTTGCTCACACTAAATGTGATAAGCAGCTTTAAAACCATAGATCAAATTAATGCCCAATATTACAACTAAGGCTCCAGATTCCATGACTATGACTTCAGCAGATGCCACCAGTAGTCATACGTTTTAACTCATTTTTATGAATCCATACAAAAAAAAATTAAAATGGACAAGTTATGTAAGAATTATTCAGGTGAGTAATTAAAAATATTTCCAGTGATCCAATGCCATAGCATTTAGAATTACACTGCCTCTAAATCTAATCCAGTGACTTCACACCAAAATCATCTCAGTGGAAAATTAAGACTCAATTTCTGTTTTAGGAAATATTTGAGTAAGTGGATACCTTGCCAAAAGACAAATTTCTTTGATTCACAATGGCAGGCAGAGATGGGTGGATGGTGGCTGACCTGTGAAATGAAAATATTGAAACACTTATAAAAGTCAAAGGAGCATCTAGATTTTTTGTACAATGTATGCATTCTTTACAGGAAATTAGTAGCAGTAAAGGTTAACAATTCATTCATATCTACAGAAATGTGAAAGGCATAGTGTGCCAATAATACCGTAAACAATGAAAACTACCGTTGTAAACTTGTTAGTAGTGGTGCTGCAATTCCATGGGTTATGTTACAATGATAGCATATCAAGTTTACATTGGATGTTTCCATTCAAACTATGTACATAGGAAAACAGGAACAGGAGCAACTATTCAGTCCCGCGAGGTTGTTCCAACACTCAATAAGATTTGTGGCCTTACTTCATACCATTGGCCCATAACCGTTGATACCTTTGCTTAACTAAATTTAGTCTGTCTCAGATTTAAAACTGATCTAACATCAATAGGTAGACTGAGTAATAAAGGAGGTGTTTGGCATGCTTGCCTTCATTGCTCAGACCATTACCTATAGGAGCTGGGACAGGACATTAGCAAAGCCTCATATAGAAGACTGTGTACAGTTCTGGTCACCCTGCTATAGGAAGGATATTATTAAATTGGAGAAGATGCAGAAAAGATTTAAGGATGTTACTGTGACTGGCAGGTTTGAGTAGAAGGTTGAGGGGTGACCTATAGAGGTTTATAAAATCATGAGGGGCATAAATAAGGTGAAGAGCAACGGTCTTGAGGTGCATTTGAGGTCTTGGACTGAGGTGCATTTGTTTTAATACGAGAAGTGTAGTAGGTAAGGCAGATGAACTTAGGGCTTGGATTAGTACCTGGGAGTATGATGTTATTGCTATTACTGAGACTTACTGAGGGAAGGGCAAGATTGGCAACTAAATATCCCAGGATATAGATGCTTCAGGCGGGATAGAGAGGGAGGTAAAAGGGGTGGAGGAGTTGCATTACTAGTCAAATAGGATATCACAGCAGTGATGAAGGAGGGCACAATGGAGGACTCGAGCAGTGAGGCAATATGGGCAGAGCTCAGAAATAGGAAGGGTGCAGTAACAATGTTGGGGCTGTACTACAGGCCTCCCAACATCGAGCATGAGGTAGAGGTACAAATACATAGACAGATTATGGAAAGATGTCGGAGCAACAAGGTGGTGGTGATGGGAGATTTTAATTTTCCCAACATTGACTGGGATTCACTTAGTGTTAGGGGTTTAGATGAAGCAGAATTTGTAAGGAGCATCCAGGAAGGTTTTATGGAGCAGTATGTAAATAGTCCAACTCGGGAAGGGGCCATACTGGACCTGGTGTTGGGGAATGAGCCCGGCCAGGTGGTTGAAGTTTCAGTAGGGGATTACTTTGGGAATAGTGATCACAATTCTGTAAGTTTTAGAATACTCATGGACAAAGACAAGAGTGGTCCTAAAGGAAGAGTGCTAAATTGGGGGAAGACCAACTAGGGCAAAATTTGACAGTAGCTGGGGAATGTGGATTGGGAGCAGCTGTTTGAGGGTAAATCCACACTTGATATGTGGGAGGCTTTTAAAGAGAGGTTGATTAGAGTGCAGAACAGACATGTCCCTGTGAAAATGAGGGATAAAAAGGGCAAGATTAGGGAACCATGGATGACAGGTGAAATTGTGAGACTAGAAAAGAGGAAGAAGGAAGCATACATAAGGTGTAGATGACTGAAAACAGACGAAGCTTTGGAAGAATATCGGGAAAGTAGAACCAATCTGAAACGAGGAATAAAGAGGGCTAAAAGGGGTCATGAAATATCTTTAGCAAACAGGGTTAAGGAAAATCCCAAAGCTTTTTATTCGTACATAAGGAGCAAGAGGGTAACTAGAGAAAGGGTTGGCTCACTCAAGGACAAAGGAGGGAAGTTATGCGAGGAGTCAGAGAAAATGAGTGAGATTCTTAATGAGTACTTTGCGTCGGTATTCACCGAAGAGAGGGACATGACGGATGTTGAGGTTAGGGATAGATGTTTGATTACTCTAGGTCAAGTCAGCACAAGGAGGAGGGAAGTGTTGGGTATTCTAAAAGGCATTAGGGTGGAAAAGTACCCAGGTCCAGATGGGATCTATCCCAGGTTACTGAGGGAAGCGAGAGAGGAAATAGCTGGGGCCATAACAGATATCTTTGCAGCATCCTTGAGCATGGGTGAGGTCCCAAAGGACTGGAGAATTGCTAAAGTTGTCTCCTTGTTTAAGAAGGGTAGCAAGGATAATCCAGGTAATTATAGACCGGTGAGCCTAATGTCAGTGGTGGGGAAGCTGCTGGAGAAGATACTGAGGGATAGGAACTATTTACATTTGGAAGAAAATGGGCTTATTAGTGATAGGCAGCATGGTTTTGTGCAGGGTAGGTCATGTCTTACCAACTTGATAGAATTCTTTGAGGAAGTGATAAAGTTGATAGATGAGGGAAGGGCTGTAGATGTCATATACATGGACATCAGTAAGGCGTTTTATAAGGTTCCCCATGGTATGCTGATGGAGAAAGTGAAGTCGCATGGGGTCCAGGGTATACTAGCTAGATGGATAGAGAACTGGCTGGGCAACAGGACACAGAGAGCTGTAGTGGAAGGGAGTTTCTCAAAATGGAGAACTGTGACCAGTGGTGTTCCACAGAGATCTGTGTTGGGACCATTGTTGTTTGTGATATACATAAGTGATCTGGAGGAAGGTATAGATGGTCTGATTAGCAAGTTTGCAGATGACACTAAGGTTGGCGGAGTAGCAGATAGTGAAGGGGACTGTCGGAGAATGCAGCAGAATATAGATAGATTGGAGAGTTGGACGGAGAAATGGCAGATGGAGTTCAATCCAGGCAAATGCGAGGTGATGCATTTTGGAAGATCCAATTCAACAGCGAACTATACGGTAAATGGAAAAGCCCTGGGGAAAATTGATGCACAGAGAGATCTGGGTGTTCAGGTCCATTGTACCCTGAAGGTGGCAACACAGGTCGATAGAGTGGTCAAGAAGACATACGGCATGCTTTCATTCATCGGACGGGGTATTGAGTACAAGAGTTGGCAGGTCATGTTACAGTTGGATAGGACTTTGGTTCGACCATATTTGGAATACTGTGTACAGTTCTGGTCGCTACATTACCAAAAAGATGTGGATGCTTTAGTGAGGGTGCAGCGGAGGTTCACCAGGATGTTGCCTGGTATGGAGGGTGCTAGTTATGAAGAGAGGTTGAGTAGATTAGGATTATTTACATTAGAAAGATGGAGGTCGAGGGGGGACCTGATTGAGGTCTACAAAATCATGAGAGGTATAGACAGGGTGGATAGCAAGAAGCTTTTTCCCAGAGTGGGGGACTCAATTACTAGGGGGTCACGATTTCAAGGTGAGAGGAGAAAAGTTTAAGGGAGATATGCGTGGAAAGTTCTTTACGCAGAGGGTGGTGGGTGCCTGGAACGCGTTGCCAGCTGAGGTGAGCACGATACCATCATTTAAGATGTATCTAGACAGATACATGAATGGGCAGGGAGCAGAGGGATACAGATCCTTGGAAAATAGGTGACAGGTTTAGATAGAGGATCTGGATCAGCGCAGGCTTGAAGGGCCGAAGGGCCTGTACCTGTGCTGTAATTTTCTTTGTTCTTTGTTCTTGTCTTTTCGCTAGGGTTGGTAAGTTCAAAACTAGAGGGCATATTTTTAAGGTGAGAGGAGAAAGATTTAGGAGGGACCTGAGGGGAACATTTTCACACAGAGGGTGGTTCCTATGTGGAATGAACTGCCGGAGGAAGTGGTGGATGCAGGTAAAGTTACAGCATTTGAAAGACATTTGGACAGGTACATGAATAGGAAAGATTTGGATGGATATGGGCCAAATACAGGCAAATAGGTCCAGTTTAGTTTGGAAAACTTGGTCGGCATGGATGAGTTGGACCAAAGGGTCTGTTTACGTGATTCTATAACTGCCATTTGTGGAAGATAGTTCCAAACCTCTTTAAGGTTCTTGCGAAGATTTGTAGCTCAGGTTGTGGATGAGGTTGTTGGCTTGCTCCTCAGGCTGGCTGGTTATCGTACAGATGCTTTGTTACCATGCTAGGTAACATCATCAGTGCGGCCTCTGATGAAGCAATGTTGTTCTACTGTGCTTGGAATTTATATGATCTGGTCTGTTAAGTTGGGTTGTGTCTCTTCTGGTTCTTTCTGCATGGGTTTGTATATGGGGTCTAATTCAACATGTTTGTTGATTGCATTATGGATTGAAAACAAGGCCTCTAGGAATTTCCGTGCCTGTCTGTGGTTGGCTTGAGTTAGGAAGGTCACGTTGTCCCAGTTAAATTGATAGCTTTCATTGTCTGAGTGCACTGAGATGAGGCAAAGTTTGTTGTATTGTTTTGCTGCTAGCTGGTGTTTGTGTATACTGATGGCTAGTTTCCTCCTGGCCTGGCCGATGTAACGTTTGATGCAGTCATTGCAAGGTATTTTGTAAACTACTTTGATCCTGCATGTCATGGGTTTGGTCCTTGTGAGTAGCCGTAGTGTGGCTGTGGGTTTGTGTGCCACCATGATTCCTAGTGGTTGTAAGAGTGTCATTGTCAGTTCTGATATGTTCTTGATACAGGGTAATGTTGCCAGTGTATTGGGGCATACTGTGTCGTCTTGGCATTGTCTATCTACTAGGCACCTGTGCATAAAATTATTGGGATAAGTTTTGTTAGAAAATGCCTTGTATAGGTGCTCATTCTTCTGGCTGCGTTGTTCTGGTGTGTTGCAGCGAGTTGTGGCCCGTTTGAATAGTGTTCTAACAAAGCTTTGTTTGTGGACATTAGGGTGATTGCTGTGGAAATTGAGGATTTGGTCAATGTGGATTGCCTTCCTATATACTGTGGTTTGGGACTCCCTGTTAGTCATTCGTTCTACCCTGATGTCTAGGAACAGATGTTGCTTGTTGTCTTTCTTGTCTCTCATAAATTTAATCCCAATGAAAACGTTGATAAGATGGGGTGTTTCTTCTAATTTGGTGCGTCTAATGATGACAAAT